ATTAGAAGAGTATGGCGAGCTGGCCTCTAGCCAGAGTAGAGTGAGGAGCAATCATGAGGCAATAGACCGTCTTGTCCTTCTGGTCTATGTGCTTGTGATACGTTGTTTCATATCTCTGGCATCCTCATGTGAACAATAATCACTAATTAGGTGGTGAGGTCACGTGGGTAGGGCCCTGGGTTGAGAATCAGGAGAGCTGGATTCTATTCCTGGCCCTGCCACTGGCCTGCTGGATGACGTTGGGTGAATCACTTTGACTCTCTGTGCTTCAGTTCCCCTCCCAACCTTTGTTTGTCTTGTCAATTAGCCTGCAGGCACTTCGGGTTTCTCACTTTGGGGCTGTATACTTCCCAGCACAGTAGGAGCCTGAGCTGGGTTTGAAGGCTACTGCGATACAAATCATAATCTTTTAAATGACTTTTGGTGACACCTCCTCCAAGTGAAACTCACGAGAGATCATAAAGAAAGCAAAGATCAATGAGTGTACCAGAGGGGGATGCTCCTACCCACACCCAGCAAATCACCCCCAAACTATGCAGTACAATCCTGCATCCTGCTCTAACACCTCCCCAAACCAGAGTCAGTCATAACCCCAAAGCCCTCTGCGGGGGAGCTACAGGTGCTCAGCACCTCTGAATGTTCGGCTGTTGGGGTCTGGCTGAGTTCCCCCAAAACTGAGGGACCTAAAACCACTAGCCACATTGGAAAATGCTGCCTTTATTCTCACCTTACAATTTCCCTTTCTTCCTAGCATTCAGCTGACTCTCTCTTCCTCACCTGCTGTGGGCCACAATCATTTCTGGGCTAACTCAAACCACTGCTTTTACCCCAGGGGTGAATGTGACTCACTTATGATCATATTTAGCAGCTATAGGGGAGTTTATGTTTCAAAGTGCTGTGCAGTCATTTGCTAATTAAAGTTAATGATCCACGTTGTGACACTGGCCCTAATGGAACGACCCCAGGGACGGGAATTGGAATTGTGTAGTGCTCCGGATGCCTGAGACAGCTCCACATGCAAATGTTTCTTTTTATCCCTTTCATAAGAAAGGCCCTACTAGGACAGACCAACGATCCATCTAGCCCACTGTCCTGTCTCTGACATAGGCTAGTACCACAGCTTCAGGAGGAGTGTATAAAACAGGGTACTTTGGGGAGATCTACCCTGTCTTCCCCTCCTGGCTTCTGGTAGTCAGACATTTAGGGTCACCCTGAGCATGGGGTTATATCCCTGACCATCTCTTGGCTAATAGCCATTGATGGATCTATCCTCCATGAATTTATCAAGTTCTTTTTTGGAAACCAGTTATACTATTGTTCATCACAACATCCCATAGCAATGAGTTCTGCGGGTTAACTGTGTTTTGTGTGATGAAATACTTCTTCTTGTTTGTAATAAACCTGCTGCCTATTAATGTAACCAGGTGACCCCTGGTTTTTGTAGTGTGGGAAAGGGTAAATAACACTTCTCTGTTCACTTTGTCCATAGCACACATGATTTTAGAGACTGCAATCAGAACCCCCCCCCCCTTATTTCCAGTTCAAAATAACCCAGTTCCCTAAACATGGGGCGCAATCCTGCAAAGTGTTAACACCCCCAGCCCCCACTTTGGCCTGTGAAAACAGGCAGCATCTTGCAGGACCCATCCAGAAGCCTGCAGTTTGACACATTTAGGGTCTGATCCAAAGGGTCAATGAGTTAGTTTCAAAGGGCTTTGGATCAGGGCTTTATTCCGTGCTTTCCCCCTCAGCTTCCCACACACTTCCTGGAGAAATAGGTCTGTCAAGCTGTGCCAATTTCAGAGAGGTTTGGAACATCAAATCAAAGCAAACCCACACGAGTGAGCTTCCGCATCTCCCTTTACAACAACCAGAGCAAAACCCTGTGCGGCACGAGGCGGGTGTTGTACAAACTGCCTTGGAATGAACCCGGAACACCGTACCAGGCTCTACCCACACTGTGTCAGCCAGCACTGGTGCAATAGCCCCAAAGGTGCAAGCAACACCACCCACTCGCTTGCTTCAGCGTGCCTTCGGGTGTATGACCTGTACTCTGCGGGCCGGTACAAATAGCACGGCGCTTCTTCGGCTCAGCTCTGCACTGGTTTGCCAGCAGCGGTTTGCCAACCCCAAATGGTCAATAATTGTGAGTCAGGCGCACCCAAAATCCTGAAATTGGCTTTGAAGTCATGAGATTATGCAGAAGTACTAGATTTGCTGTTCTTTTTATTTGCCTGCTGCTTTTTGAGCCTGTAGGGTGCCCTGGGGGTCACATTCTGATGCTTTCTCCACAGCCGGGAGGGTGAGAAACTTTCTTTTTCTTTCAGAATGAAGGCTGAAGTCACCACATTTCCACTTGCGTCCAGGAGCTGGGGCTTTAGGGAAGACAATAATTACCACGAGACTCGTGACAAAAGCCTGAGAGTTGGCAGCACGGCTTCTGCAGCATCGGAATGCCCTGCGAGGGGCTTCTTTATCAGCATGTCTCTGATGAAGGCTTCCAGCGTGCATGAGATACTTTAAAAGCTGCCACCATGGCCCCCATTTCTAATCTGGACAGGGAGACGCCTAGAGAGGTTGGGAAAACCCAAAGGTGGTTTCGGAGCACTGTTCATGTGCTTGAAACACAGAAAGAAACTCCAGAAGTCCGGTGCTCTGTGCATTGGTCTGTACATACGCACCGGAACCCTGTGGCCTTGAGTCAGCAAACACTTACTTAAGGAGCAGAGGTTTAAGCATGGGCTTAAAATGCTTTGCCGAGCTTGAGCCTCTATGAAGATTAAGCTACAATCCTTCCTTTGCGCTCCCTTCTTCCGCAGCGTTTACAAGCTCAGTCAAAGCCCTGCCACCACCCATGACACAAAACCCACAAACTGCTCCGGGATAGAACCAGTGTTGGCATCTCCTGTGAGACTCAGTATAGCTGGGGTTTTGCTTAAAGCCCCAGTTCCTGGAGGTGACTGCACGAGAAGCTCAGGTTTCTAGCCCTCGGGTAAGGTCACCAACAGTCCCTTATTACAAGGCACGCCCCTTCTTTTTGCAGCTCTGTACAAGATTGGGAGTTGCAAAAAGCAGCAAGAAATACCCTGCCGAATGTAGGCGAGGGCTGCTTAGTATAATAATACTGCTTATGGTGATAACTTAGCCACCGTACGAGTGCAACCCTGGCGTTTCAGAGCATAGACCAGAGGTTCTCAACAGGGGGTGGGGGGGCCGAGAGCAGGTTTCAGGGGGTCCTCCAAAATAAACCAGAAAGCAAGGCCGGCTTTCGACTCACTGGGGTCCAGGGCAGAAAGCCGAAGCCCGAGACCCGCCGTGCGGGGCTGAAGCTGAAGCCCAAGCAACTTAGCTTCGTGGGGCCCCCTGTGGCTGCAAGGCTTGCAACCCCCTAACGACAGGTTTCAGAGTAACAACCGTGTTAGTCTGTATTCGCAAAAAGAAAAGGAGGACTTGTGGCACCTTAGAGACTAACCAATTTATTTGAGCATGAGCTTTCGTGAGCTACAGCTCACTTCATCGGATGCATACCGTGGAAACTGCAGCAGACTTTATATATACACAGAGAATATGAAACAGTACCTCCTCCCACCCCACTGTCCTGCTGGTAATAGCTTATCTAAAGTGGCTTTTAATCTCCTGGGTAGGCAGAAAACCAGGTGTTGGGGCACAGGTGGGCCAGGGAGGTTTTATAGCATGTGGGGGGGAGGGGGCTAAGAAAGAAAAATGTTGAGAAAACCGGGCACAGATTGTCGCAGTCTTCTGCTTAGCATGCTCAGTGTAGGTGACAGAAGAGGGAGCCGTGTGTGCAGGAGCTAGGGAGGGGCTGAGGACAAGAGGCCTGAGCCTGATGGGGTTGGGGGGCTGGAGGGGCTGATGTGTTCAAGGCAAGGCCTGTTTCTGCCACGTGCCAACAGTCCAGCATGTGAGTCACTACACTGAGCTCAGTGAGATAAGGAAAGCTACATGAGCGGGATTAGGCCAGAGTAAGAGCAGCCCGACTGGGTCAGACCAAAGGTCCATCTAGCCCAGTGTCCTGTCTTCCGACAGTGGCCAGCCAGTGCCAGATGCTTCAGAGGGAAGGACCAGAACTGGGCAAATTATCAAATGATGCATCCCCTGTCACAGTGGGCCAGTCCCAGCTTTTGGCAATCAGAGATTTAGGAGTAATCAGCGCATGGGTCCCTGACCAATTTGGCTAATAGCCACTGATGGACCGATCTTCCATGAACGCATCTAATTCTTTTCTGAACCCAGTTACACTTTTGGCCTTCACAACATCCCCTGGCAACGAGTTCCACAGGTTGACAGTGCGTTGCGGGAAGAAGGGCTTCCTTACGTTTGTTTTAAACCTGCTGCCTATTCATTTCATTGGGAGACCCCTGCTGGTTGTGTTATGTGAAGGGGTAAATACCACTTCCCGGCTCCTTTTCTCCACCCCTGAAGTGCTTTTATTTTCCCCGCACCCTTTGGGCAATCAGAGGTTTAGGAGCAATGAGCGCATGGGTCCCTGAACATCTTGGTCATCAGCGGTAGCTCACGAAAGCTTCTGCTCAAATAAATTGGTTAGTCTCTAAGGTGCCACAAGTCCTCCTTTCCTTTGGGCAGCGTGCGTGTGCGTGAATGTGTGTGTGTGTGTGGCGGGGATCAGAATCCACCTTCTTTACTGTCCGGCTGCCAAACCTCTTCTCTGGGCACTGGCTAAAGACAGGGCTGAGAACTCACTGAGGACTCAGAGGGCAGGAGTGCCCAGCCGCCCCCCTCAGGATCGGGCCCCGCCCCGGGTGGGACTCCAAAGACTTGGCAGCCCTGGGGCGGGTGGGGGAGAGAAAACTACATCTCCCAGGCACCCCCGCGCCCCGGCGCATGCTCCCAGCAGAGGCCGGACTCGCGAGCCGCTGGCCTTCGCCTCTCCCCCATTGTGTGGTTCGCTTCCCCCCGGGGTCGCTGATTGGCTCGGCCGGGCGTCGCTCACCCCCCCCCCCACCCCCGCCTCCTCCCGAACGGCCCCTTCCCCGCCGCGTCCAGGCTGCGGGCTGGCGGCGCGGGGCCGGCCGGGTGCATGGGGCAGGCGAGCCCGCTGCCTGGCTGGCGTTGCGGGGAGCCCGGCGGCGAGCGCCCAGCCCGGCACCATGATGAAGTTTCGGTTCCGGAGGCAGGGGCACGACCCCCAGCGGGAGAAGCTCAAGCTGGATCTCTTCGCCTTCAACAAGGTGGGCGTGGGGCAGGACCCCCCCTCTCCCCGCCGCCCAGCCCTTCCCGGGGTGCCCTGAGCCGCCGTGCGGGGCCTCAGCCAGCAGCCCCCGCGCCTCCACCCCCGCCTTGTTGGGGGGCGCTCGGGGTGTGTGTGTGTGTGTGTGTGTGTGTGTGTGTGGGGGGGGGGCGCTGAGCCGAGGCTCGGGGGCTGCAGGGGGGGTCGGGCTGGCTGGGAGCCCAGCGCATGCCGGGGCCGGGGGCTGCTTGCCCTGCGCTCCCGCGCCCTCCCCCCGGGCTGTGGGGGGCTGAGCCGGGCTCCGCTGGGGGGCTGCGTTTGCTTCCCCCCCCCCCTCGGGGCGTCTGTCATCGCTTCTCTCCCCCTCCCCTTTGCCTGCGGGCCCCGGGGGGGGGGTCTGGAGTTGGTTGCAAGAGTGTTTTTCTCGCAGCGCTGCGGGGCTGAGCTCGGCTGCTTGAGGCTGGCCCGGGGGCGCAACTTGCCCCCGTTTGCCTGTGTGCACCGTTGAATTTCGGGTGCAGGGCGGTACCGCCTTGGTGACAAAAGCTGAGCCCCCCCCCCCACTTGTCCACCTCTTCCGCGGGCCACCCGCCCCCCCCTTGCAGGCGTCAGTCTCTGCATGTGTCCTGCACGCTGGCGCGGAACAATAGGGGGGTGCGGGGCGCCCGAGGCGCGCTCGGCCTCCAGCAGATTTACAGGGCGAGTTTTGCCAGCGAAACAGGCGAGCCTGGGGCGGGGAGGGCTCGGGCTTGAAACAGTTAGTTTTCAGTTACTCCTGCCCTCGGACGTGGTCTGGAAACCGGCTCAGGGGCTTTTTGCAGGGGAGGAGATGGAGCTGAAATGGAAATCAGCCCCTGAGTTTCACTCTGGGGCAGAGGCTGCTAAGTGGCAGGGCTTTTGGCGGCGAAGCTCTGCGGCGAGTTCTCTCATTGCATCTCTGCAAAGGGGGCTTTAAAAATGCCGAATTCCCTCTGAGCTGTGTGCTCGCTTCCCCTTTGAAGGGGGAGAGCTTTGTCCCTTTGATTTATAGCCCGTTTCATCCTGGACTTTTGTCTCTTTATTGTGCAGGCTTAATAAGCCCGCTGGGATCTTTAAATTAACCTGGTAAGTGACCGGGGGGAGTGATACAGAAGAAGACCAGGGATCCCAGGAGCAGGCGGCGCTCGTGTTTTCTCCCTGAAAATTACTGACATTTTGTTCCTTCCTTTATGGCCAAACAGGACTCCGCGGTCCTTGGTCTCCTGGCCACAAACACATTTTATGAGGCAGGCAGAAGCCGTCTCTGTAGAAATGCTGTAAATGTGGCTGCACTTCCGCTTTTGCATCTCTCACTGGGTCGCTTTAGGGGCTCCTCAAGCTCCCCGATCTGGGAAGTGGAGTGTGATCCCTGCCCTGGTGCTGCACACACCTGCACTTCCGATCGGCACCGCCTCGGCACAGCTGCGTGTTCTGGGGTTTTTTTAATGGAGATAAATAAAATCTCCCCGCTCGCTTGGGAGTCCATCCCGAACAAGAGCATCAAAGGTTGATGCTTTTTCCGTCCTGTCACTTGCACACTAAAGGAAGGGAGGTCAGTTACACTTTCTCGCTTGTTTAGCTTGGAAGCGAACGCGGCATGATCCTGCCGAAGGAGCCCTACTTGCTTTGTGCAAACATCCGTGCTCGTGGCTTGACAGGCTGTGGGATAGTTGAAGGAAGAATAGGAGGACTTGTGGCCCCTTAGAGACTAACACATTTATTTGAGCATAAGCTTTTGTGAGCTACAGCTCACTTCATAGGATGCATTCAGTGGAAAGAAGGAAGAATGCCTGCTGCTAGGCTGCCCTGGAGTTGTAGGTCACACCTGGCAGCTCTGACCCGATGACTTTGCCTGGCCTTCTCTTCCCAGCCTTGCTCTGTTCTCTAGTGCTTGTCTTTCGGTGTCTCGTGGATTGCAGTAATACTGAAGTAGAGAGCGGGGCCCCAGTGTGCAATCCCGGCCCCAGAGAGCTTTCAGGGCGAGTGGAAAGGGGAAGCCAGCGGAAAGGGGATGACTTGCCCACTGGCACACAGCAGGTCAGTGGCTGAGTTGGGGAATAGAACCCAGGACCCGAATCCTGGTCCGGAGCTCTGTCCACCTCCCATGGGCCTCAGAGCTCTTGCATGTTGTCTGTATGTTTCACAGGACTCTCAGTTGCCCCATAATGGAAGTAGATCTGGACCTTAGTGGTGACGATTTTTCCTTGAAAAGCTCCTAGTGGGGCTGAAATGGGGATAAAACACCCCTGTCTTGGGGCTCGTCCTGTAGGGTTGTGGGGGTTTTGACCACCTTCTCTTGTGGTGTGTTAATCTGTTCCCAAAGTGAAGCCATAACTTGCCTAATGAAATAGGGGATGTGAGAAAGCAAGCTCTGGGGACCCACAGGCCATGAGGCTTGGCTGCCTAAATGGCCAGGCCACCCGCTCTGTGCTTGGTGGTCCCACACGTCCCATGTCAGGCTGTGGGGTTGTACTATTGGCTTAGCACACTAGTGCTCTATGTGAATTTAGGCGGCTTTGGAGAGGTGGCTCAAGAACAGCCATAGGTCTAACTGGAGCCCGGGATTCAAAGGGGTGTAGTGATGCAGATGTCTCCCAAACCAGCTAGCTGTGTGTTTTGGGCTTGGGAATGTTACTAGCACTTGAGTCCTGTAGCCAATTTGCTGGCTGTTCCGCTGTTTGCTAAAGCTCCCTCCTTAATATGTGGGTCTCCCCAGTGGGGCTGGGGACAAAGCCCTGCAAGATTCGGGTCTGCCCCCAGAGGAGCAAAATACTGGACGCCCATTGACTTGCCAGTGGGTTTCCACCTGCCTTGAATGAAGGATCTGGAGGGAGTCGCAGTAAACAGCAGCTCAGGAAAGAGGGGAAGCTCCACTCTGCGTGATGCTCCGGAATGTGGGGATGTCTCTAAATGGCCAGGAGCGTGGCCAGCTTGGTTGATCTGGGGAGGGCGTGGCCAGCATGATAACTGGCAGGCGTTCAGCACGGGGAGCGCGAGTATGAAGCTGAGCGTGGTCTGAACTGATAGGGACTCCTCTTGTGGTGCTGCATGCTGACAGCTGTAAGCAGATATTGGTTTTATCCATTCCTGTTAGTATAGGAAGGCTTAATGGGCTGCTTGCCCGGAGCTAGCTATAGAATTCCAATGCCAGCAGGCGACTCACGGAGATGGTATAGATTCACATTTCATAAACCGATGCACAATGGCCATCTCTCGTGCACTGGTTATGCTAGCTCTTGTATTTGCAAGGGATTGGATTAGATCTGCCAGGGTCTCTGCCAGATCACCGTGGTCAGGGATGGAATACTAACCAGTTGCTTTAGACGCTGCACTGTCCATGGTCAGAAATGGGTCAGCCCAGCCTCTCTGTCTCTGCAGACCTGGGGACAGTTCTGGCTGCTGCTGTAAACCAGTCTGGCCTGGATACCTGTCCCCGGCGTACAGCGACCTCCCTAGAGGGTAGCTTCTGCTACAGAAGCCAGGAAATGCTGTAGGTCAGGGGCAGAGCTGTGGGTCAAATGCAGAGCAGTGCACAAGAAGCCATGTGGCCAGTGTAGTTGGTCTCTTGGTATGCTAACTGCCTTCACGTCCAGAGCCTGATCCCGTGGGGTGGGATGGTCTCTCCATCCCCACTGAAGAGCAGGCAAGGGCTCTGTACCTTGCAGGATTGGGATCTGAATTACTCACATGATGGTCTGTGATGTCCTGAACTTTGACCAGTCCTTGAGGATACAGATGTCTGCATTGCCTGTACATGGAGCCCCATTAGTCCCCTCCCCAAGCAGGTTAAGCTACAAACCCTAGGAGGTCACTTCATGGTTAGGGTTTTGAACTGGATGTCACTGGATTAAGGGCTGCAAAATCCTGGCTGAGAGTTACAACCTCCAGATCTGTCCCTCACTGAGGCTGTCTCCTTCCTGAGGCTCCTTGCAAGTGCTGGGCTTAAAAAGGGAAGAAGGGCTGTCAGCGGTGGCAAGTTTCTCTCCGGGCTGGGCCCAGAGCATTAGAGAGAGAGGCCTGGACTCATCAACGCTTGCAGACATCTGTAAAGGAATCCAGATGGCTCTGAGGCCGAGCTCGGGCACCCATCCTAAACTGCTTGGACAATCAGTGAGTTTATATCATCCCCTCCTGCAGCCCTGACATCAGTTTGTGTTTACAGAACCTTTGTATTCATGGTAAGGCTGCAGATGGGAATAATTCCAACTTTGCCCATGGAACAGCTGCGCCAGTACTGACCCCGAAGTGCAGGCAAGGACGTGAACAGGGCTGTGCTGGAAGAGCTACGTGAGGGTTACTCTCACTTGTAATTGAGGCAAATGCCAATTGGCTCAGTTGGAGCAAACCCAGGCGCTGTGCTTCGGAGCCGCATTGGTGTTGCTGACCTCGGGTGCCTGGATTAGGGTTATTGCTAAATGCAAACTAGGCATGGGCACTCTTGCTCTTCTTGTTCTTCTTGCAGCTTTAAAGGGTTGGAAATAGAGTCGGGTGAAACTTTTCAGTCAAATAGCTTATTTGCCCCCAAACGCTCCAGGCAACTGAAACTATTTGTGAATTTGAATAGTTTTGGCTGAATTAAAAAAAAGAAAATCACAACAGTTCATTTTGATACTTTGCCAGCCAAGCGTTTAACTTTTCTCTCTGAAACACTGGTATGTAGAAATGGAAGTAGATTGGTTTAATTTTTTTTAAGGGTAGACGTGGTGGCTTTTTTGGGTCAAACAAAACATTTCGCTCAACCCAAACAATGTTTGGTTTGCTGAAAAACCCAAACGTTCCAGGCTGGGTTTGACCCAAAGGAAAACTTTGTTCGATTCTGCCACCCGACTGAAAAATCAACTTGCTCATGTCTAGTTGGGAGGCCCAATGCGGCTTTCTCTGTGGAAACCGTAGGGCACGGAGACCTTTGTTCAGTTTGAATAAGGGCTACAAAGATACAGTGGTGTAGGTGCGCTGCTGTGAGGATGCTCTAAGCCAGTGGTC